TTTAATTGTCTTTTAATTACTTTGGGCTAGTTATCTGTTAAAAGTGGAATTGATAACAAAAAACAATAACATTTACTGTATCTTTATAGACACTGACATTTTGAAATACGGCAGTGTACGATTATTTTGTCGTACAAGGTTGGCAACGCTCCGAGCAGTGGGCGCGGCCGGGTTAGCGACTTCCAGAGTTAGCGAATTCCGCCGCGAGACAAAATCGAGTTAGCGGGTTCCGGAGTTAGCCAATTCCTGACTGAGACGGTTAACCAGTTCCAGAGTTAGCCAGTTCCGCCACACGACCGAGTTAGCGAGTTCCTGAGTTAGCCAATTCCTACGTCTCTGATTGAGCCTTGCCTCTATCAAGTGTGCTCAACTGTTAAGTGTGTAGCAACCTGTTTCTTATAGGCTAGTAGATAAAAAAATAGCTTATTCCCTATATGGGAAATTCGCTAAAACTGGATTATTCTTTTTGTATTTTAACCCCGTAGCGAAGCACGGGTCACAGCAACTATTTTTCTTTAAACAAAATATATATTACTCTTTTAAAACTAACAAGCATCAAAAATTAATCTCCATACAGCTTAATAGTAAATCTTAGGAAACTTTATAATGTATATAAGTGTATTTAGGTCTTGAACAGATTTTCTCTTCCAACCATTCTAGTTTTTCAAAATGAAGAAATCTACAAAGCATAAAAGCAATTATTGTGTATCTATTTATTGTAATGGCGTGTCAGTGACTCTCACCTTTACTTTGAACACAATTATCCTCACCTGTCTTCTTCGAGCTTCTTTTTGAGCAAATTGCTCTTCTCCTTAAGCGTGCTGGAAGAGTTAGTCCCGCTTCTCTTAGCTGGGGAGTTAGATCCGCCATCATCAGTTTTCTTCTCTCCAGATTTAGCAATTCTACGGGCCCTCTCTCTTGCCTTAATTCTTGACAGTGTGCTAACCAATTGCTTGAACAAACATTTTACCATTAAAATGTTAAGCTTGATTTTTTGCTGGCTTACACCAACCAAAGGTGCTTAACAACAACGAACAGAACACAGGTTTTGTGTTAGGTTCTGATCTATAATCACTCGATTAAAGTTAGTACTAGGCTACCCAACTTACTTAGACTAGAAAATAACTAAGCTACTAAAATCTATGGTCGACAATATTTTTACACAACAATATTCTTCCTCATTTGTGACATATTATTACGAAGTTGTCACGATAGTAGGACGTAACCACGATAATTCCTATGTTGTTTCCTATGCAAAGTCCGTGATCAGTGTACAACAATAAATCATATAGCCTAAAGAACAGAAAAATAGAAAGTCTAGTGCTAGTTATTGGCCTACTGCTAGTCATAGGCTACTACTAAGTGGTGTTTTAAGACACAATAAGGTCGGCAAATTATTGATACCGTAACTTATCAAAAAGTTTTAAATTTTAGTAGCCTTTTTAAAAGATAGAACAATAGCATAAAAACATTGCTTATTTATATTCTCTTTGATTTTCTATTCTTTCTTGGGGTTCTCTTCATCCACACATTCCACAAATTTCTAACTGTCACAAAGCCAGTTTGACAATATATTTGACAATGATTCCATGGATGCGGCTTTGTGTCGGCCCTGTTGTTCTTAACAATGTTCATCAATACCTATACAAACGTAATAAGTTATAGGCTAAGTCCTAAGTAATTTAAAAGGTCTTAACTTACCTCAGCTTTTAGTTTATTTGCCTTTTGTTGTTCTATTCTGTCCTTGATAGCTTCTATATCGGTAAGTTCGGATAAACCGGATAGTTTTAACCCAGTTCCAGGAGGCTGATCTGTTGTCTGTATATTTGGTTCATTTTCTTGGGAGACTTCTTCCATGACTGATTAACTTAAATGTAAAATGTAATCAAAACCTTTTTAAAACACACATCACTGAGTTTGGCCTAAATAGCTATGGGGCAATGACAATATGGAATAAATAACTTAAGTTAAGTTAGTTCTCTAAAAAATAGCTCACTTCTAAATAGAAAATAGCTAGTCTTCCCAAAAACAATTAAGTTAATACTGTATTAATGTGCAACGTTGCTCATGTGTTCTCAACTGCAACAACTAACTAAATAAGTACAGTAGTTGAAATTAACAAACGAACTTCTCATTCACGCAATGTATGTTGTGAATTTCTAAAGGCTAGTATAAGCTGGTCACCAATGTATACTTTGAACACTTAACATTTAAGGAATAAATAATTAATAATAATTGAACTAAAAATCCCACTGATTTTCTTTTAACTAAACGGTATAGGGTACAACGTAAAATTTTTCAATAAACGATAAGACAAGACAACAAAAAGATACGTCATACAAACTCTGTTTATTGAGAGGTTAGGAAAATAAATGTCAATTTGACAGCTGTGAATAGGGAGGAGCCCAAAGAACTTTAGAGACTCCCATTGGTCAGCTTACAAAACGGAAGTTGTTGTCAGCTTCTAATAACAATCGGTGGGGTATCAACCAATTTGTCAAAACTGTTGAGTATATGTATAAAAATTTTATAGTAAAACTACGTAGATGGCTACGTATATAGTGAACGATTAATAGAAAAATACCGGTATGGATCATAAACATAAACAAATGACATTTTTGGCCCGAAAATAAACATGATTTAACATTGCTCAAATGGAACGATCAAACATTTGTTCAATGCTCTTATGATTCGGGCCAACAACGACATTTTGTTTATGTTTATGATCCGTAGTTAAAGGCGGCCATGCTAGGGACCTCAAAACAAAAATATAAATCGTTCCCGGGTCCAGGTCTTACCATGAGTACTACGGTAATAGCTTATTCCCTATATGGAAAATTTGCTAAAATATTGTTCTAAACCAAAACAATATAAAATGAAAATGGAGTATTTCCATAACCCAAAGCCGAGTAACCAACCTTTCATCGTATTCTTATAAAATACATACACATTAGGCCCCTATTAGCCGTGAGCAACATGTGGCGCAGCCAGCGGCGCCGCCGGCGGAGCCGCCGGTGGCCCACAGTGTTTTGGAACCTGGACACTAGTCGCGCGACATATTCGTAGCTCGCTCAAACGGCGGAATTCAATAATAATAATAATAATAATAATAATAAATCTTTATTTCTCCACAAGTAATACAATAAAATTACAAAGATCTATAAAAAACAAATTATTTTACAATGTAATAAAAACTTATTGTTAATTAATTAAATAAAAACAGTTTGCTTCAACTTGCGAAGAAATATACACACCCAAAGAAGATTAAAACTTCTGTGTGTGGGCGGGAGTCTCAACTAATACTTAACAATAACAAAAAAATTCTCTGAAAAGGGTAACAAAATGAATTATAAATTAAATTTACCTTTAGTCCAATAACTTTTGTAGAAAAGACAACAAAGAAAACAAAATTCACCAATATCTAGGAAGTAAAACGAAAAGTATGTAACTATAATAATGAGAACATTTTAAGAAATTGAAGGAAACAATGAAAACCCAGACTCTGAAATACAGATACTTACAAAGATAAAGCAAATACATTGAGCTAGACATTACTTACTAATTCACCACAACACTAGTGTCAAACATGACATTGAGTGACTGCATCCACAATTTGCACGTCACTATTAGCACTAGACATTGTTTATCTAAACTAAAGACAATTAATAACGCTAATGATACAAAAAGGAAATAATACACTGTTAAAAAGGTCACTCGTAAACAAAGTGAACAGAAGTCACCAATGAATAGAACAGCAATATGGCGAGGCACGTCTCAATCGACTCAAACCACGATGTAGACTATGTGACGGGCTTCGTTTTCACGTTAATAGCGCATGCGAGCGCAGTCAGTGGCGTCGCATGTTGCCCACGGCTAATAGGCTCCATATACTGCAATGCCCCCCGACTGCCTGGACACTAAAACGGTCGCGACACATGTTGCCGGGCAAAATCACTCCCGGCAACACCTCGGGCAGCTTTTTCGGCGGCGCCACCGGTCTCCCCGCGGCTAATAGGCACCATTTGACTCCATGCCCCTCTACACGTCCGACACCGGCGGCTCCACTAGCTGCGCCACATGTTGCTCACGGCTAATAGGGGCCTTAGCTGCCTCCAAACTAAACAGCACTGCTGACAGTGTTTGCCACATTGCCGCGGCCTGTGGCCTGTCAAAAACAGCATCCGCCAAATTCATACACCTTACCTTGTATATTATTTATCCATGTCCGGTACTGGGTAGCCTAATAATTAGAACAAATATCATCCGATTTTGATTAAGTTTGGTACAAAATGTGAGTGAGTTTGCGAACAAGCATGATCAGGGGTGTTTTATAAGGGGTGTAAAGGATAAAAATAAGGTTTCCCATTTTCTTAATTTCCCATAATGAGCTACTATCGCAGGTCTCGTGTTAAGAGTAAGGCTTAGACCTGGGACCGATTTATTTTTTTGTAAAACATCATCCATTCACATTCTTATTATATGCAGGGTGTCCCGGAACTCTCTACCAATATCTTAGGGCATTGTTCCTGAGTAAAAAACATATTGTAATGATTAAAATGAATGATTGTAATTGATGGGTTATTGAAATTTAATTATATATATCATATTTAAATTTTAAATTGTCCGGAAGTCCTTATAGTTACCGGTTATCACAATTAAGTGATTTTTACACATTTTTTACAACAGTTATTGTGTGTTCTGACATATGTAACACAGTTTAATGAATCAATATTTTTGACTTCTGAAGGAACACAAAGCACATAGCAAGTGTAGAACCATTCCTAACTCTTTAAAGATTATGTACTAAATACTGTATAAGGTAAATTTTGAAATTTTCCAAACAAACATTGACAACTGAGCAATGTTGTACGATCAAAATGTCTCCGTTGTTGTATTGATAACATTTTATTGATGATTGTCCTAGTAGACTTCCCAACAACTCCTTCTAGCTGAAAGAGGGTTGCTAAGGCAACAAATCAACTAAGTCTAACACTTGCAAAATGATCAGAGGACAAGATCAGATAAAGTAAGTTAATTAAATTAACAGATATTAAATTTATTCTCTCAAACTACGCCATAAATAATTACAGTAATAGCGTATTATTATGTTTAACCATAAACGGGTCATTGAGTGTTGCATTGTATTTCAAAAACAGTTTTTAAAGTTAAAGTAAAACCTCACTAACACCATACCATTTTGGACACTGAGGTTGTCGGGTTTGGGGGATATTGATTCACTCAGAACATTGAAATTTTTTAATGGGTAATAAAAATAAATACATAACTGACAAATTTTTACAAACAGGGTGAGTTTTAAATGAGTTCCCCCCCTACTTTTTTCTACATTTCTTAAGATATCAACTCCGGACCACGTCAGATCATTGTTGAGTAGTAAGTACTTCATTTTGACTTGGTATAAATTTTTAGCCGCCATCTTGGATCCGCCATATTGGATACAAAGTTTTTTTTTTCAAATGTAAAGGTAGGGTTGTGACCCATAATTTTAAACTAGATTTTAATGCTGAATACGGTGCTGCAATTCGTTTTTAAAAATCTTGATCCATTCTAAAGTTATGAGAACCTTTTATAACATTATTTTTAGCCCATTTTAACATTGTGCATTTAGAAACTAAGAACATAATCACAAAATAGTGCTAGATAAAGATAAGTATACACCACATAATATACATAAATCTTTATCTAGCACTATTTTGCGATTATGTTCTTAGTTTCTAAATGCACAATGTTAAAATGGGCTAAAAATAATGTTATAAAAGGTTCTCATAACTTTAGAATGGATCAAGATTTTTAAAAACGAATTGCAGCACCGTATTCAGCATTAAAATCTAGTTTAAAATGATGGGTCACAACCCTACCTTTACATTTGAAAAAAAACTTTGTATCCAATATGGCGGATCCAAGATGGCGGCCAAAAGTTTATACCCAGTCAAAATGAAGTTACTCTACACAATGATCTGACGTGGTCCAGAGTTGATATCTTAAGAAATGTAGAAAAAAGTAGGGGGGGAACTCATTTAAAACTCACCCTGTATAAATTTATTACTTACATGAGTAGTATTTGTACATATTGAGGAAACAATCTTAAAGGATTTTAGATAAAACTTCACCCGTTCTTGAGAAGTCGAACGCCTGTTGACTGTCGAGTTAATGAGATTTTACTGTATTTATAAAAAACTTAAAATATCACATGAGTACGGTATTCTGTCCTGTACAGATTTGTTCAAGACTGGGATGTACCTAGACCAACCCCACTCTCAACCCTCATAGAAGCAAATTTGGAATTCAAAAGCTGTCAGGACAAATTGAAAAATCAGATTAATGAATCAGATAGCGTTAGACAGGAAATCAACGAGAAATGGAAGGAGCTTAATGATAAAAAACAAATGTTAAAAACATTACATTTGGAATTTGATAAACTGGTGAGTGTTATTATTTTTTAGTGTTTTTTTGGTGATTGTAGTATTTAAAGATACTATTGCTTTTAAGATAAACTTCTTTGATGTGTTTTACTCAAAAAACAATTTGTAGATAATCAGGGGCGGCTCCAGATGGTAGGCCCGAGCCTACCAACTTTGGTAGATATTTCAAAAATTATAAAAAAAGATTTGCTAGCAGTTAAGTTACCCGTTGCCGGCTAAGAACTATTATTTTAAATGGTAATTTGTTTTTTACGATAAATTATAAAAATGTATACCAAAAACAAAAATAGAATATTTATTTTACTTAATTGCCAGTGGAAAAATAATGTTTTTTTGTTTTTTCATTAGGTGTATAAATATATAAGTTTTTACCCATACCTACCACCACCACCAACACACAACATACAGCTGTCCGTGTGAAGAGCATGCATTTTCTAAATTTAAACCGGTGATAGTCGGGGATTGCCCTTGTACCTTATAATGGTGATTGCTAAAGCAAGATGCAATGGAAATTGTAGTCCCTAGAATCCTAAAATTCAAAGGGTAATTCGGATGAAATCATCGGCATTTCTTGGGATTACGACTATTTCTCCTTTAAACTTAGTACTGATGATTGTTGATTCGTTCAAGTTTGGTGTCATTTTTTTAATCGTCAGTCTGGTTCCATTGCACAGCTTGGGTGGAGTTAAGTTGCACATTTAGTATTATTGGATGACAGTAATGTGGTGGGTTAGTGACCAATTGGGAGGCATTTGAATAGGTACCTGCTGAGATAGCACGCACGATTATTATTCACTTAATAATTTATGTTAGATTGTGTGGGAATATAGAACAAAAGATAACAATATTAAGGCATTGCCATCCTTTTATTGTTTATACTGTAATACTTTGATAATGTTTTTTACGTTTACATATTTAATAGTGGATAATTTAAACGTTGTTGAGCAGACAGGTGCGCTGCGATTGGGATTTTATATATATGGACTTATCAAAAAGTAAAATAGTTTTCTGTGCTGCATTCTGTGGAAACAGTGTGGCACTATTTAAAATCATGACTAATACAAAATGTTGTGATTATTGAAACCTACAAAACAGTTGGTGAAAGTAAACGTCTGCTTTTAAACTATATTTATTCGTAAACATTGTAGTTTCAAAAGTCTGACATGGACCCCTTTAAACCCTCTGGGGCGGAGCCATTTTTACGGATCTGCACCAAACTTCACACAAACCATCCAGGAATAATGCTTAATAATGGCTTAAAGTGTCAATACAATCTGTCTAGCGGTTTTGGAGTCCATAGGGTATATGCATACATACATACTTCCTCTTTTATAGATATAGATAAAGAAATGTAATGATATGCAAATAAAGGGAAAGCATTTAAAACTTATTACTCTGCAATTTAAATTTTAAAATCCCCCCTTTTTGCGGGGAAGCCCCTCAAACCTCTTGTCCACAGATTAATCTACTTGCTCCTTGATCCTTGTCAGGCCTAACCAAAAAACTATTCCTGGAGCCGCCCCTGTAGATAATAGTTTTTGTTCTACAATTTATAATAGTGATGCATATCCATCCTATCAACAATTAATTAGTTTGCTTTTTTTCGGTAGAAACTTCTAACTAAATATTCAAAAAGTGTATTTTTTGAATATATTGTTTTTAGACAGGTGATTGATCTAACATAAACGGAAAAAAAGTAAACCGCTATGTCAGAGTTTATGCCGTTATTTTTGTAAAACAGGAAAGTGAAGACAAAAAGAATCGAGCCAAAAAAAAATTGGAAGATGAGAAGAAATTGCAGGGCAAATTATTAGAGCAGCTACAGAGTGTAAGACAGGAAGTCCAAGAACTCGGGGCAGTCAAAAGCAAAATGGAAGCATATTTGAACCAGTATAGGATATTTGAGGTACAGTAGGTAAAACAACGACATTTAGTAGTACAAAACAGTGTTTTAAAATATGCAGTGTTTTTACCGGTAGTTTTAGACTCCAAGACCAAGGTGGTAGTCTATGTCAATTCTTGAAAACTAGTGATTAGTGAATATGAGTTACATAAACATGTTGTCATGTTAGAAAGCCAAATCTAGCTCTGCAATCTAAGTTAGAGCTACTTCATCAGGATTAGGGAGGCTCTTCAAACATGATCCAAGCAGGATTGATTCATGAGTCAAGCAATTTTTATATAATAAGTAGAAAATCAATACGGTATAGCATTTTGTCTTTAGTTTGGACGACAGTTGCATTTTTAGACGAGGTTTAATAATCAATAATGTACAGTATGTACTGAAATACGTTTTCACGGAAGGCGGTCCATACTCCATACCCATATCTCAAATGGGTTTGAAAACAACAACTACCTTTAAATTCATTTGTAACTATAGACTAAAAAGGAAAAAAAATGTATTTATAGTTTTTAAAATTGAATTACAATGCTTCCAGGGACCCATAACATATATTTTTGTCACATAGTACTTTTGACTTGGTCCTTAAAGTAGATAGATTATATAGCCAATGTTACGCAGAGAAACAATTGAACAAATTAAAACATTATATCTTACCAAGAGTAAACTAATTTGGCTGCAATTGATTTCAGGAGTACTTGCAATACGTAGTGCATCACAACAGTGAGTTCAACACTGTCAACGATATATTAGAGAGATACAGAGTGTTGAGGAATATGCAAACTCAGTTGGAGAAAACTGTAGAGGAAGATTTGCAGTTTATGATACAGTCCAGAAACGACATTGATGACTTGACTGAGGTAATTCATCAACATGATATGCACAGAGTTCGGGATTATTTAGAAGTCATTTTAAGACTTAAGTGTGATGTTCAACTATTCAAAACATTAAAATTATGACAATGGCAAAGTTGTCTATTCACATTTCATTTTACACATCTTCAAACATTATACACCAAAACATTACAATCTAATTTATTTATAGCCTCTTAATTGCTGATACATGTTGAAAATGTGTGTAAATACCTGCATATGGTAATCCATCTATATCTATAAAAGAGGAAGCATGTGTATGTATGTATGTACCCTATGGACTGCGAAACCGCTCAACAGATTGTAATGAAACTTTCAGGCATTAATAAGCATTATTCAAGGATAGTTTGTGTGAAGTTTGGTTCTAGGACCTTGTCAAGGAGGGGGCTACCGTGGGGCTTGGGGGTCCTCCCTCTGGACGACACCACAATATGTTTTATACATATAGAGTTTTTACATGTTTCAATCTATACTACTTCTATCATCTAAAACACATAATCAGTTGAACAAAATAGAATTTTGTCTCTTGTGAAGATTGACCAATAATCTAGGACTGATAAAATCAAACTTTAGAGCCTAATGTGGATAAGATCAAAATCGATTGACTATTGGATATAAGATCCTACTCATTTATTTATTAGCAATCATAACATTAACATAATGTCATACAGTATTACGAAGACATCCCATCTATATGGATCAGCTGTCGCCAATTTTTTACTAAAAAAGAATGTAGTTGTGTGAGCCAGTCACAGATTGCGCTAGTATGTCTAAAACTCTATTTTGTACCTTATTTTTCGTTACCGACATAGTTGCTGGGTCACAACAGTTGCTATAGCTCATAATAAGTCATTCCATCAGTTTGACTTGGTAAAAACCATTGTGTAATCGGCAGAAATCAGTAATTTAGATCAGCGCAATCTGTAGGTGGCTCACATCAACTAAGACAAATTTTATTAAAAACCTGGCTACAACTTTAACATGGGGATGGAATGTCTATTAATAGTCAAAGGTATTACCATAAAAAAGATTGCAATATTAGGTTGTATATATTGCAAGGTAGACATTGAATTGGTGTATTTATATTTTAGGAAAAATGTAACGACATTAACGGGCTCGTCAATCGGCTAGCGAAGGTACGAGTGAAGGCTAAAGCTGCAAGTGACAACCTTCTGTACTGGGATACTTTGGTCACAACCATCAAAACATTCACTGCTGAAAAGTCTCTTGAAATACAAATGGTATGTTCAAACCTAAATACAAATGGTATGTTCAAACCTACTTAATTTAGCAGATTTTTATTTAGTTTCAATTAAATAACTTAAATTCACAATTTTTTTTATTATCTCCGTAACCGTTAGGAACACAAGAATGCTTCAATATACTGTACAAAATTATTTATTTTTTTTAAGCTCTACAAAATGGTTTAAAACATTATTTTTGTGATACAAGCTAGGTGTGAATGTGTGACACTGTTGATAAAGAACCCTGGCAACACAGGCTCACTAGTGTTATTTATGGCCCAAGCTTGACTAGTTTAACAACACTGGTCAACCAACAGCCTTCGTGTACTGTAGTTGTAAACTTGACTGCCAGGATGCAGCACAAGCTGTCCTCGCATCGATAATAAATTGTAAGTAGAAGTTTGGATAATTTAGTTCAGAGTCTGAGCTATAGTCTGTAAAGCTCAAAAGGTAAACACACATTTTCTGTATTATTTGATTGTGTTTGAACTTCAATGTTTCACATGAGTTAAATTAAAAAAAAATAACTTTTGTTTATATTTGTTCTCAGGTCCGAGACGCCACCTGGAGTTTGTACTTGCAGATGTGCCGCAAACATAAAGTTGAGGACCCAGTGGCCAAGAATAATTTTGAGAAGCATATAAGCTTCATTTACAAAACCATACAGCAATATAAACATATTGTTCAAATAGCCCTAAAGAAATCAAAGTCACCATTTCAATCTCATTGTCCGAATACATCCGCAGTTAGTGTAAAAAAGCCAAACTTGTAAAAAGATTAATGGTAACTCGTTGTCGGGACCACGTAAGTTTGCAGTTGGTGGAAGCCAATCACAAGACAAGGCTAGTGTGACGTTGTCACATCACCCATTGACAACACTAATTAGAATATACAAAGCAATATTTTCAAATCAGCTGGTATTATTAGATTTGGCAACACCGCATCGTTCATTGGTTCATTCAAAACCATATGGTAAATAGGCTCCTCCCTCAACTGCAAACTTATGTGGTCCCGACTATAGTTCATTATTGGACTCTCACTGTAAGTATAAAATATTGACTGAGTTCCAAGTGAAATGAAGGAACAAACATACTCCGCTAATAGATAATCAATTATGGAACAGCTGAATGTAATTTTTATGAATATTCCTACTGTTTTATCTGGTTTTTAGGTTCTTTGTAATGTTGTGTAGAAATAAAATAGATGGTTAACATTTTAAAATACACACAGTAATTTGTTTGTAAACCTGCAATATGGGTATGTTATACACATTGCTTATGCTAGGGCTACCAGCCGCTTGCTGGGTTGGGACGAGGACAGCTGAGTGTATCTGTGTGTGGTAGTGTTATGTTAAGTATGCGATTCTAATGTTATGTGCTTAATCTGTACGATTAATATTAGTGAGGAAAGTGGTGTATGGCTTTCCCAACCATTATTTTACTAGAGACCCGTTGTATCCAACCACAACGGGCTCTGTTGCTAGTGTTAAATAATGTTTACTTTTGGGCCAGTAACATAAATTATTTATGTTAGTGATCCATACCATGTCTGTTCAAGTATTAGTGCTTTGTATAGTGCATCTCTAAGATCTAGTAGGTTGTAAATAATTAAATAGCACCAATTAAAAGTAACTTTAACTACACAGCCACTTCAGTGAATATTGTAGACGGATAGCGTCAGTGACAACGAATGACAGCGAGTGTGTACTGGCTATATGTTCGTGCCCTTCTTCATTCGTTCTAGTTTGTCTCTTTTGATACATGATAGGAGACCGCCAAAAAAGTGAACGCAACCGTACAAAAATGTTGGCGATGCAAACTACCCCAAATATACATGAGCACACCAAGTACACTATTAAACTCGTCTTTGTTCACATATATTCGGCAAAAGTGTACTGCAGGCATAATACTTATTAGCTACATTTAAAATATTTTGGAGAAGAGGAATTTGTTTAAATTTTTCCCAAAGGAAATAACTTTTAACGAATTCTTGTAATGTAGATAATTTATTTAAATCTTGATACATTGAAATTGTGTCACAATTTCTGACTACTTACTAAAAATAAAATTATTATTTATAAATATATACATTAATAATTAAATAACACACAAATAATAAAAACAATATAGAGATCCAAATAAACAATTCCGATGGAAATCGTAATGAAAATTGGGACGGGTACTGTAAACAGAACTTAGCGAACAAAAGATCTAAAGAAATTAAGTAAATCAACTGCATAGGCAGATAAAATTAAACTCATCGATAAAGGTTTTACACAGTAAAAAATATTAACTGTATTCTAAACGGTATTGGTCTCCAGTTATCGTATGTTAGTAACAACTTACTGTCTATACACTGATTATCTTTATGAGGTATACTCATTTCATGAAAAGGAAATAAATGTAAACAAAACCAGGATGAAATGTCCATGATAACAAACCAAGTGGTGGCAAGTGTTTTTGGGTCATATAATCATGATATTGTCAGACATTTTTAAAGTGTTTTCCCAAATAATAAATAATTTCTTGTAGCTTCATAGCAGGAAAACTTATTTCTTCAGTTGAAGACATCCTTTTAATTTCAAATAAATTATTAGCAAATGTAAATTCAGTTCCTGAGCCATATTTGACAATTGAACATGTAAGAAAACATAATTTGCATGGTAATATCCTTTCATCAGGACCCATTGACGCCAAATTATTTGTTTATTTCTCTATTAATAATTTGTTTTATGTTACGTCCCTATATGTATTTTATCATATGTGTATTTCAACACGATGGCCATGTTTAACCGAAATAAAAGCCAAAAAGCTAAATCTGTGTCCCTCCTCCTCTATACCAATATGACAAGAAGCAAAACAGTTATTTAAACTCACTAATGCTGTCAATTTCCACCAAAGCTGGACACCGGACCTTCACAACAACTAACCCCATTATGGGATTCAAACCCACACATCTAGAAAGACCCCAATGCAACGCCTTAGCCAACTGAGTTACCATGCCACCGACGGCCATACAGGTCAGTTGCTACTATAAGCATATGACGTCACTAGCACTTGTAGGTTAGATTCATCGAACTAATCAATTAGATTAGCAGTAAATCCACCCCACTGAAAAAAAAAAACAGGGATGGCTACACACACGAGTTAGCGTCAATGGGTCTTCATGACTGACGTTAGAAACATTTTAATGTCATATTTTTTTTATTTTGACACAGCTACATAGGATATTAATTTGACATAAAAAAATGAAACGGCATTGTCATGGCTATATTTAGCTTATACAACACAACATTTAAATTGATCAATTTTATTTTACAACTACCAAGCATAAAAATGTCTTGACAATTTTTTACAAATTTAGAATATTCCTCCTAAATTACATTCAAATTTAAGATTCAACAATTGAAAATATATATTTTTTTAATTGAGAATTAATCGTGCTGTTTAATACTTTTAAATGTATAATTTTGAAGTAAAATAAATCAAAATAAGAGCACTTGGGAATAATTTATTAAAAAAGAATGCAAAGATTTGATACACAACGAGCAGTAGGCAATAGATTGGTCTAAAAGAGTGACCTACAACTCTGGTAATATTTTATTGGAGTGGGAATATCTTACTGTTATGAAACAAGGTGGATCTGATAATTGTAAAAATATGATGAGTTCTTTGGTGGGTACAAAACCATATTATTTTCAACAAGGAACGAAATTTACTTTTATAATCTTTTTTGAAGTAACCTACATCTGATTTTTGAAATTCTGACAATAACTTGCAGACCCAAAATCTTAACTGAAAAATAAAATAAAAACCCCAGCATGATTAATAGATGTACTACAGCATTGATTTGAAAATCAAACAGTGGATTAAAATCCCTTTTTTAATTTGAAACACAGTAAAATTAAAATTAAATGGTATGATTATTTTTTTCCCCTTTACAGTAGCTGATACAAACAATATTTGTCAGTATCATAAGGTATGAAAAATCATGGATTGTATTTAAAACTCGGAACAATAAGTCTAATATAAGTTTAAGTATAAATTTCCCAAATGTGACAAAAGACAATAGGTGAAACTCGCACTTTGAAATTTTGCATAAGATTTAAGACACTGAACACATGTACATTTATTGGTAAAAATGTATATTTGTTAACTAACCCCATTTTTAATTACAGGGGTAAGGCCAAAATATGTATTTGCTTGTAAATTGAACAGCTTTTAAACTAAAACATACTACTCTCAAAGGCTTTTACCAAATATCCCTGACATTTAAAGCACTAAACTCATATGGAGTATTTCACCTTTTTTAAGACTTAAGCTACAACAGAGCCGGGCGAATAAAAAAGGTAGAGGACAGTTCAATGTCAATCATTTATATTTAACATAGTTATATAAAAGGTTTAAATCATGTATACTATATAATTAACATCATTAAAATAAAAGGATTGAAATCAATCGCACACAATAAATTATACAATAGGGATCGGAAACAGGTGCTGATCGTTATGGAGATTACATAAATTACAAACTAAATTAGAATACAAGTCGTCAGGTGCGGAAACATCCGCAGAGATCAATAGGTAATGACAATGACCAAGAGTGTACAATATTGCATATCGGCTGACATCTGCCCATGGCACTAGAATCACTGAGAACTGGGCAAGCTTCAAGTTTTCCAACAACTGCAAAAGGTGACAGTAAACTAAACTGTTCAGATGTTTTTTTTTTTTATATGAAAAATATTATTTAAAGTTTAAAGTTAAACATTTGATTGTTACAAGTTACAAGTAAAAATGATAATGAATGTGAAAGTGAAAACTTGATAGTTGGCCAGTTCTAGAGAGGAGGTACAACACAAACATTGGCAGTGAACGTAAAGTTAGGCAGTACAGTATAATGGCAGTGACAATCTGATCCGGTCTTTCAGTAGCAGCAAGTTCCATAAACAAGTTTCTCCGCAGTAAAATGCTCAGCGCGGCAAACATTATCTACACTACAACCTCAATGTTTTTATTTAACATTTACTAATATATATTCACAACAGTCAGTTATGTTAGGACTCTCAGTAACAGATTGTAATTTTTATATAAATATATAATCAACAATACCGCACTTATTTGGTATGAGTACAATAACGGACATGCAATTAGAGTTCGCAAACTGTGAACGGTCAAGCATTTTACGATAAGACGAAACTTGTTGTGGAACCTCGACGATTTCACAGATTTCACCGATTACAATCTATTATCCGGCGCAAACGAACATACAATCCTTACCTCTAAACATCCTAAGCCTACCAGGAAATGGCTTACTGTAATTCAACCACACGTACATAATTAACCGTATTTTGCTACTATACAGATAAAATAGATACAATTTATCAAATCAGTCCTAAAACAAAACTTACGAATAAATATAATACTAACATCTCCGTACCGTATTACTTCCTATATGTACATAAGCCTCTTCGATCCGAAAAGTAGAGAATTACTTAGCGAATAGAATCCGATTGAACGATAATTACAACACTAATACGATACGATACAGTCCCATCGTAGATACATACATTACAATACATTGGCAGTGTGAACACCTCAGCTGGTTGTGCTCTCCCGATCTTTCTACTTACATTACAATACAATACAGTTACTTACGATATTTACAGTCGATGCTTCTCATATCTAAACCGTGTACACCGATTAAATCTACGAGTATTCTGACGAATCCAATTTGAGTAGTCAGTCTTGTCGTCAATTTGATGTTTGGACTTAAACTAAGTTGGCACGGGACAGTCTAACTCTCATGTTTCAAGAGAGGGTTTAATAATTTCACCATCACCGCAAGAAAGAGAAAAATGTTTCCATATGTGAGAACATTGACAACTGACTTTTTAAATGATTTTTAAACTTGTCCACTCGAGTCATAATTTATTCAATAGACTTTTCTGTTTGATTTTTTTAGTCTTAAACGACAATCTTCGACACCCAAGCAAAATACCTGTACAGATTTTATTTTTATTTTAAAAGCCCTGATGTTGCTAAACACAAATTACTGTGAAAACCCAGACAAATGACAAGACCTAAATGTGCGTATTCATACAAAATTATTCCAGTGAGAAACAAAAACTTTATGTCCAAAATGATGCAGAGTAATGACAACACTAACTGTTTCAATAATTTATTTGTACTATTCTACGACCCTATATGTTCTAATCTAAATTTAAGAAAGTACAATTTACACAGAGCCTATTCGGCATTCATAGTATGGAAGAGTTGACACACTTTAGGATTTATGCTTACAATTTGAGCCTAAGACACTGTAAATATCTAACATGAGATAACTTGACTACTTTGCACTTTACTGGTTCACATGTTTAGTTACGCAATTCACACAATAATGTACCACCGTGCACGATCCATTGTGGCAGTGATGAATATTCAAGGAACAAGGACAATGAAATAAGTATTTAAAGTCAAATACACAGAAAGTTCTAAAATATTCTTATCCCGAAGAGAATTTGAAGTACTGTAATCATAAAAGTACAAAATAAGATGAAAATCAGTTCTTGAATAAATCAACTATATTTAATATATAATTTTAAAAACCGACGCTAAATTTCTAACATTAATACTAATACATAAAATGTAAAAATAACAAATTTAAAAATATTAAAAGACACAAATGAACACAACGCGGCACCATTGGATAGACCGACGAGGGGTACCAGACAAGTAGTGTTACCTGTCTATCAGCTCTAAAACCTTAAAACTAAATCAAATAAATACAAGTATTTTAGGAAGAGCCTCCAAACTGAAAACGAGTTTGGAAATAAATTAACGTACGATATAAATTCAATTACAATGTGTACAATTAACAAGAGCGACGCTTTTGAAAATGCTCAGCTTACAGTAGGTTTTACATTAAACACAGCCTAATAAAGGAAATAACTATCACAAGATTAGAAGTACACAAAAGTGCAACACCAGTGTCAAGTTAAAAAACATCCCTGTTGTAAATAATTGTTTGTTTAAACATTTATTTTTATGATCCAGCCAACGTTAAAACATCTATATTCATATAATTTAGTTAGAGGATGGAAAACCTCATTCAGAAAGACTTCAGAAATAAATTTAACTACTGTATTCTCATACAAAATAAAGAAAAAATGATTTATTTTAATTGAACAGTTTAATCTCCACCAACCCAGCAGGAAAATAAGATTACTTTGTCTACAATACACTTCGAGCCCCGAATGTAAAGCCCCTAAACAAATTTCCCAATCATCCCAACTTGAAACTGAGCATTTTCAAGAGTTGGTTTAACAACAGATCAGACAAAACTAGATAAGACAATTAGGTAACTAGGAATTACACAGTGTATCATCGCTTAGCAGGGCTGGATGTGTGTTTCCTCTTGTTGTGGCCTGGGCGGGGGTGGAACAGCGGGGGCTGCATCCATGCCTGGGGCTCCTCACACTTGCTCCAACTGACCTGCTGGGTCTGACGAACCTTGGACTCGGGCACCCACTCGTCCCTTACACTGCAACAAACCATCATCCGTTACTGGAGAAACACATACTCGCACCCTTCCAAACTTTGACTTACAACTTGTGAGTATTCAACAAACGGCTGAAAGCAATATATCAGTGCAACCTCAATATATAGCAGACCAATATTACCAACTTATTCTCCTTCTGCGATCGCTGAAATATCCTGGATATCTCCAGCAGTCACAGAAACATTTTCATCGTTTTCTATGATCGTGGCAGCAGGATGCTGAATGTATCTCGGGGTCACAGAAACATCATCGTGGTCTTTTGTTATCATGCAAACGTTATTGTCTTCATCCAAAATCCCGGCGAAAGCGAGAATTTCGCAATTGCACAAGATGCATTCTGCAATCGTGATAGTAAAAGCTTGGCTCGGCCTCGATTTTCTGATTTGGTGCTTGAAATCTTGAGCTTGTAGGCTAGGCACCACTAAAAAATCAAGCCACTTGCATAACTTGAGCATAGCATTTACTTATGAATCAGTTCTAAAACGGTTAGTTTATTTTCAAACCAATTAAGGCCAGGATTTTAGTAATTACTTAACATGAAAATACTGAAAAGCCCAAATGTTTTTCTGACGTTTTGGCTTTTATACATAAATACAATCATTATCTACTATATCTATATCTATAAAGGAGGAAGTATGTATGTACACCCTATGGACTCCGGAACCGCTCGACAGATTGTAATAAAACTTTCAGGCATTATTAAGCGTTATTCAAGGATGATTTGTGTGAAGTTTGGTACAGATCAGTCAAAAGGGACGGCCCCAGAGGATTTAAAGGGGTCCAATGTCAAACTTTTGGAACTAAAATGTTTACAAAAAAATATAATTTAAAAGCAGAAGTTTACTTTCACCAACTGTTTTGTAGGTTTGAATAGTTACATCACCACTGTACATATTTTGTATTGTCCATGATTTGAAATAGTGCTACACTGTCTCCACAGAATGCAGCACAGAAAACTATTTTACTTTTGGATAGGTCCAAATATATTAAATCCCAATCGCAGCACACCTGTGCACTCAACAACGTTTAATTTCTCCACTATTAAATATGTAAACATAAAAAGTAAAAACCTTTATCAAAGTATTATAAATAATAAAAGGGATAGCAATGTCTATTTTTATCTTTTGTTCTATACCCAAACAATCTAATATAAATCATTAAGTGAATAATAATCGTGCATGCTATCTCAGGTATTCAAATGCCTCCCAATTTGTCATTAACCCATCACATTACTGTCATTAAAAGAAGGAACCTCCAATAAAACTAATGCTAATTATCAACATATATTGGGTGGTTTGCTTAAATCCACCCAAACTGTGCAACGGAACCAGACTGACAATTAATAAAATGACACCAAACTTGATCGAAGCAACAATCATCAGTAGTACGTTTAAAGAAGAAATAGTCTTAATACCAAGAATACTGATGATTTCATCCAAATTACCCTTTGAATTCAAGCGACTACAATTTCCTTTGCGTCTTGCTTTCGCAATCACCATTATAAGGCACAAGAGCAATCCCTGACTATCGCCGGTTTAAATTTAGAAAATTCATGCTTTTCACACAGACAGCTGTATGTTGCGTGCTCACGTGTGGGTAGGTACGCCTAAAAACTTATATATTTATACACCTAATGAAAAAACAAAAACCATTGTTCATCCACTCGCAATTAAGTAAAATAAACATTCTCTTTTTGTTTTTAGTATACATTTTTACTATTAGGCCTAATCATAAAGAACAAATTACCTTTTAACCCGTTGTCAGTGTCACCACAGAGTTTTTCTACAGGCGGATTCCTTTTCATGGAAAAATATTATTGTGATATCGCCAGCCGGCAGCTTTTGGAGTAAAAGTACCTCACGTGCATCTTTCTAGGAACCGATTGAACATTATTTTGAATAAGCCCGAAGAGTCACGTAGCACGAATTTCGGCTCATTGAGTCCCTGGTGGTGTTGTTTTTGTTTGCTTAATATTTTTTTTAAATACGTAAAGTAAAGCTAAATTTGATTGTAAGTACAATTTTATTGATTATATGGTTTTAATAGGTGTTTATAATGATGTATGTATAAAAACACACTGATTGCCCAAAGTTTTAACGCCCGAAAAAAACTCTTGTGTGTCACCGATCGTGTTTTAAAATCAAAGACACCGACGAAGGGTTAAAATAATAGTTGTTAGCGCAGCAACGCGCGCCGCGTAACTGTCAGTTCTATATATAAAAAGGGAGGAAAAAACACTTACAAATTCAGGGGAAACCACCTCAGAAGAACACTGGGTGTTCCATCCATGCTCGTCCTTTTGGCGATTATCTAAAACAAACAATAATCTGTTAAATAATTGAAACATTGGTTGGTCAACAATTAGATACCTCTGCTTCTTTTGATCAGCCCTAAAATAGTCATGTATAATAGTTAATATGGTAAATTCTTATTAACTAATGCAATAAATTAAGTAGGCTACATTTAATTTCTTTATACTGTGACAGTGGTAAATATTCTCAAGTTCTTGGAGTAGGTTTATCCACTCATTAGAAAAATGTTCACTGTGGAATCAATTTTTGAACCTGGTGCTACTGCAGGGACAATTTTCTTTTTACCACCAATACTGATATTTTTATAATTCATACGTTACCAATTTGTATTAATAAAATCAAGTTGCTTCAACCAATATACAGTTTTTCTGTTTGATAACTTCCATTTTAATGTAAAAATGTTGAATGGATCTGGAAGTATGAGAATATGTCAAGACTTTGATCTAAACCTAACTGAAAAAATAACACAAATTCATTTGATTTAATGAAAATGTAAAAATGTTCCCTTTTATACAAAAAAAATATACTGCTTTAAACGAAGAGAAATGATTACTAAATGACTGACGTAACAACTTCATGCAACAGCTACCTACTTAGACTATATGGAAGTTTGACAGATTTTATCTGATCCTATTTTTTGTTGGACAAGTATTTTGATTCCGTTAAAACATAACTAACAAGTAAATAGTTTTCTTCTTGTTCATCTGTGTTGTTTTTACACCCATTCTATTCCTTTAAATATTATCCTCTTCATACTGAGCAGATAGATGGTCAAAGCAAATTTCTGGTGGAATTTAATTATTTAAGAAAAAATAAGAGCTGATGCTGGTAATGTATTTAGCCCAAGCTAGATACTTTACCAACATTTTACCCATAAGTAGGTGAAGTCCATACTGGAGACATCCGGGTTGTAGTTAATTTGACGTAATTACATGACTAAGTAACTGATTTAAAATTAACTGGTTGTAAAGGAAGAACTTTGGATTAGCTTTCAATGAAAAAATCAGCAATATGATATTGCAGCAACAAAATGGATAAAGCCTAAACAAAATACTAAATAAGAGAAATTTATCTGAAGGATTGCGTCAGATGACTAAGTAAGATGTAAAAGATCAAACTATTGTAAAAAATCCCTAATATTCAATTAAAATGATTAAGTCACAAAAGTTGATGGAGAATAAAAAAAACCTATTTAAATACCATCAAGAGATGTTCTGAATCATCAGATGAGATGGACCAAAATGTACCAATTAGTTTGATGAAATTTGGACAAAATCAAATCTCATGGTATACTCACCAGAGAATATTATCTGCCAAAGACTGTTCCAAAACTACAATATTTATTTTTGTGCTTAAATATCACTTCAAGATAACAACCGCTTCTGCGGTCACTTACTGTTTCACAAAACAGCCTGAAAATCCAAAAAGAATATCTCAAGACATTAAGACTCCGGACTTATAAAATATTAGGAACTGACGCTTCATTAAGGTAGGAAATTTTGAAAATAAATTAAGAAAAGCCTAGTATACATGGAGTGAATGATGGAATAAATAATATGAATTAACTCAAGAACTTTCTACAGGCAGTAGAAGAAACCCGTGGTTTCAATAGCTGGTACACTTGAAGGTCTGAAGAATTTGTAACGAAACATAATTACCTAGACATTCACACCAAAACAATTAGTTACAGTCCTCCAACAAAACGCAAACCTTCTTAGGACATCACAAGGTTAATAATTATGAGATAAATCAATATAACAGTTGTGACAAATCTGTGTTTGGTTTTAAATCTTTAGGTTTAAATATTGAAAGAATCAATAAGAAGAAAAATAATTATATACAAAACAAATTCTACATAGCATTCAATCGGTTAAACTTAAATTCACAAATTTGTTATCAAGATAGATAACAAATTTAAAACAGTTCAAAATATATCTTAGGATTGCCCGAGTATTTTGTACATGTAACTTAAGCTATTGATTTTCAAATTCAATTAAATCATTTGTTGTACGATATATTTGTTGTCCTAAGAAAGTTTACAGCACGTTCCAAAATGTCTAATCAAATCAACATTTCAATGATGAAAGAAAGAGAAGGGGACTTTGTGCAAGCATCCATTCAATCCATCCGTACAAATCTTCGGGAAGAAACACGGGAGCAAAACCATCACTTCAAATTTAATTTTGTATAAATATTGTATGCATAATTTTCATAATATTTTTAATATATAACAAAATAAGAAAACTACCTTTCAATCATTTTTACACTTACCTTAAAATCTTAACACTAACACTTCAATATTTACATCTAACAGTCATGCTTAAGTAAAATTATCCTCAACATACAACCATGTCAAACAATCATTAAGTTTATCTACAAATATTTTACTTTCTTCAAATTCTTAGACAACTTTTTTAAACTGTATTATATATCAAAATATCAAAGTTTGGTCAATTTGGTTACAACATTTGTCCATGTGAATATTCTAATAGCAAATTGGTCCGAACTTTGTGACCAATTTTAATACACCTCAATTATTAATGTTCCCAATAATGAAGATTACAGATTGAAATAGTTTACTTAAATATTTGAGTAGGTAGTAAATTATTATTAGTAAGTTTACCCAGCTAATTGGACACTGAATTGGTTTTGATTGTGAATTCTTTCCAGAAAATCCATAATAATATTGTGCTATATTGTTGCCTATTGAAAGAGACAGGAGCAGTGGAATTGTAATATGTATCTTCCCATTAGCAATTAGTTAACTAACCACTATATATCACTAGAAAAATGGCTCAGTTACAATTTATTTATACAAATATTTCTGGCTTTCAAAAGATATAAATATTTAAATGGACCTCTGCAATAGAGGTCCCCTGCTCTTCCTTTACACAAAAACTAATCTTGTACTTTCATTCTATTTAAATAAAGTTAGATCAAGATAATTACAACAATTCATTTCAATTAGCCAATAATCACAATAAATTAAATATTTGATTATTTAAATTTCTAAAATTTTTATGTAAAAGTGATAATGTTCATTGCCATTCATTGTTCATTCTCAACTCAATAAGAAATTTCCACTTTATGATAAAACTACAAAAATATTACCAACAATCTCTCGGAATACAGTAGAACCCCCCCCCCCCCCCACCACTCCTAACTAACCTCGGAATAACAGACTTCTCAGGATATACCATAGGTCCCATTAAAAGCTATACATACCATTAGAGGTGTGCAAGGGAGTCATAAAATAGTTTTTTGTGAGTTTCTTTCTTATGGAAAGAGGGTTTTTGCTCCTACCGATATCCAACATTTTGGCTGATTCGACCATGACCACTTGACCAGGTCCCGTTGTGGTCTGATATGGGGGGGGGGGGGTTTCTACTGTAATTAAAAGACCAGCTCAACAATTTTCAATTTCTACCTGCACTTCTTTAAAACCAGCATTTACAAATTTTTATATCCATTGACTGACAATAAACTGTAAAATAAATAATTAATTAATAGTCAATTTAAGTAGTCAGAATTAATAAAAGTACCATTTCAGCAATGCTAACAGCAAAGCATTCTAGCAAAAAATTATTAAACATCATCCATTTAAACTTATACAAGTGTGTTTAAGTTTCTAAAGAAGTATTGATGAGTGGTAATCAAGTATCAAATATTAAAATATAATCTAGTAAATCTAATAGGCCACATCTGAAATGTATACATTCATTTTTATATTATTTTAACACTCAACTACAAGAATTTTGGAATAGCAGATTCAGTTAACCTTACACTTATCTGACTAAGGAATTAACATGGAACACAAGGGCCTAGGTTTTGAAATTTGCTAGGATATCAGGAGGAACAAGTTTCAAAAGTCATTTTGACAGGACAGATAAACTGTCTCAAATGAAAGATCTTAAAAATCGACCGATTATAAAGTAATTTGGTAAAGTTTTTACTGGATTTGTAGAAAGCAGGTAGAAATGCCCTATGTTCGAGACACACCACCCATCACACCACACAGTATAAATATACATAGTAACAGTTGGCTCTACTAACCTTGCTGTGCAGGGTGACACTGTTGGCTGCAGTGTCCTCTACATTGCCAAAGGACAGGTACTTGGAGATGTTGAGAAGAGAGTGCTGCACACCCTCCATCATTCCTGTGTCTATGTAGTCGAACATCCGCGCTGCAAACAAGCCACACAACCATCACCAAACTTGACAAGTTATTAACACTCCAGGTCACACAGAGGAGTGTGAAAGCTGGTAGGCAACATGTAAAGCCACAAAACATGACCTTAAAATATTCTTACATTCTTTAACATTACATATAAAAATCAAACAAGGCGATATTGTGGTTTCTACAAAAACATCCGGTTGATTTGGTACCAAATTTCACAAATCGGCCAACGTTTATCACACTTTTATTTGCAAGAAGTCTGGGGATAAAACAGATGAGTCAAGTGGCAGTAATCAGGGACCTGTCGCACTATAAACAGCTCTTCCATGTTAGCATGTCCCACAAACCAGAGTACATGCAAGGAAAAGGGGAATAATATGGTACGTAGCCAAATCCTCACCAGAGTAAGGTTGTCTCCTGTACCGCAGCTTCTTGCCATTGCGGCGGAACAGTTTGTTGGGTGTTGACTCTAGACTGCGCTTGCTGCTGGACCCGCTACTGCTGCTCTGCTCCGACTGGTTGAAGTGTTGGTTCACATGTCTCTCTAGCATGATCTAAACAACACCAGTGTCTATGTTAGCTGGAGAGTGACGGGGCTTACAGCGGTGGGGAAACGGACTAGCGATTAAACCACTTCTGGATAAACTCAAAAGAAATATCTGGATAATCCACACTCTAATTAATGATTTTCAAGTGAAAAGATCAGAAAACAAATGCACAACATATTCTGGTCATTAACCAAAAAATTATCATGTAAAATTTGTATTTAGTGGTTCGAAAATGCCCATAACTTTAAGGTTTACTGAAACCAACCACTTTTTTTTCAGGTGAAATTGAATTTTAGTACTATAAATGAAGCAACAAATTATGGGCGCATTTGAAATATTCAAATTAGTTGTCACTTTTACATTTAAGTTAATATTGGTCACTTAACAAACATTGGTGACATTGGCATTCATTAAACAGTAGACATAACTGCCTCTCTTGTTTTTACACCCACCAAAATAACAAGAGTTTTCAATATTGTGACTAATTTTAATTTTACATCCTCAGTACAATATATGCTGATTGAAGTATCAAATTACACTTCCGAGCAATAATGACTGGTAATAAACTATTTACTAAGATAATTTAAAAATTACATTGTAGTTAGTTTAATGTAGCTCATCAATTTCCCCACCACAATTCATATAAATATTGAGGCTGGAAGAAGCCTTTTTAAGAAATAGGACTAATGTTAAGCTTAGTATTCCTCACTTACCTTACAAGATCCAAATAGGGAATAGGGAAATATTTGAATCAATGATGCCTTTGGAACCATTTTTGCCATTTTGTTTGTGAGTTGTAATTTTTTCTTAGTTTTTCCATAAAGTAGTGTGTGAAATATTACTAAGAGAAATGAAACTTTCACAGGAAACAACTAGATGTATTGTAAATTATATTCAATGAAACACAGGCACCTTTCATTCAAACACAGAGAAATTAACATACTTACTATCAAGTTGGACAGCAATTGTAATCACCTGAACACTACATGTACAATTAGATATACCCAAACTATTTATGCACTCCAAAAAACCTCAAAGTCAACAGGTGGCCACTGATATCACGCTACCAAATCTTAAAAAACCTTTTACAACAGCTACCATCTAATGGAAAACTCTTGACTGAAAACTATGTTAAACCAAACATCTGAAATAGCTTTTAAAGCAAAATTTTTAAAAGTTATGTAATCATAGGTCTTTTGAAGCAAATTCACATCTTCCTTAAACATACCTACTATTAGATTTAAATTGTAAAAAAGTTCTCATAATAAAACGGTTGTGTGGACAATGAACAGACGTTTTTAATTTAACAAACCTGAATTCTAAAAAAATAACAAAAACCCATGGTTGAGCTTTCTTTTTGTTTTTAGTTTTTTTAGTTACCGTAATACACTGGTATCTGTATAATTTACAAGTGTTTAAATTTATTAAATCACCCCGAGTTTATAAACTTATGTACTTGTTTTGATACACTTAATCACTATAGAGAGGAAACACAATTAAATGGCATTAGGTTTAGACGCCACAATCAACAATGCAGTTATAAAACAAATTGTATTGGGTACAAACACGCTTTAATATTGTGCAACATGTAACCCTTTATAAGTAGTTCTGTACCAGATTGAGCGCACAGTAACAAACAAGTTTTATTTTTTAATCTGGTAAGTGTTTTTGTGCAATTGCAAGGTTATTATTATTCTAGGAAATAAAATTGTAACTTAAAATTTTTACAGGTTTTAAAGAAATACAGGGATATTTTGCAAACGAATACAAATAATTGTGAATGCCAAATTTGTTTACGCCCTTTTTCATAGTATCAGTAGCCATCCTGATGGGTGGATCTGAAAATGAATGACTCTTAATGGTAGAGCTTAAATTTCTAGATCCACCCATTGAAACAAAATCTTCCTAATTGAATAAATTCCACTGAGACAAAAATATTGTTTAAAAAATATTTAGATAGGTACTATTTTATTGATGTATGGGAAAAAACGTGAAAGGCTAGTCAAAATGTATTTACTTATTGATTATCTAATGTTTGCAAGGACAGCTAAATAGCATTGCCATTAAATTCAAAGTTAAAATCGGTCATTAATTAAGTAAAAATAACAAAATTTCAAAAGCGAAATGAGTTTCAACATAGAACATTCTACACCAGGTCTGTCCATTACGTTAGAATACAAAATATGCTCTACTTCAATTTTGGAATACTAGATAGCATATTAATAAAAGAAGCAATACCTTTCACCTCCGAATACAGTCAAGAGAAAAAGTGAACAATTAGAAGGATCAGAGAGGAAAATGTCTCTGAGAAAAACAACTTCCTAGCTAAATTTTAACCAAGATACAGAAAACAACAAACTCGCTAATTAAAGTAATTATTTTTTTTTAATTCAGATTTCTACCATCCTCCTAGAACACTCAACAACATATACAAACAACTTCCAGTTCCGGTAATGATGAAAAGCACACACATACATACCTCCATATTATGTTGTCATCATTTGGGCTATTGGTAATTGGGAATATACTAATACTGTAATATATATTGTTTAAATGGTTTAACTATAATTTATGTTTAAAATTATGCTTTAATAAGATTTTTTGAAGTCTTCGAAACAAAGGTTTTGCTTCTTATCATTAACATTGCATGATAGTATACAATAGTACGTTTTAAATGTTTAATTAAAATGTTTAATTATGTTTCAAACAGATTTCGCTTTCAAAACACTCTTGAAAGAATTTTGAAGATATGGAATAAATTAATAGACGAAACCTGTAAAAACTGCACAGGTAATATATTTGTGAATAAATTTTACTGCAACTGTGTGTATAAAAAAGAAAATCAAAACTTCAAAATTTTTTTTACTATGATTTTTTGAAAGTTGTTTAAGACTTTCTAAGTTAATTAAAGTACAATAAAGATTGGTTGACTCCTATTGGGCATGGATTATATTTTTATAATAAAGTGAATGGAGAAAAAAATCATTATTTGATTGAATACACAAGGATTCAAGTTACCATCCAAGTCCAACGTACGTTTCGACGCAATTAAATTTATAACCCAATACTCAATTCTCACACCAAGGAGCTATACTCGAACTTGACTGTACTTTAACAAACTTTCCCTACACTCACTATCCTGGTCTTGTAGCAAGTGCTTGGCTCAGAGCTGGGATCGTACCTGTGAGCTGAACCTCTGTCCGCAGCCAGTGACGATGCAGGGGAACGGCTTGTTGCCTCCATGGCTGAGCACATGCCTGCCTAGCCAGCTGGCTGAACATGATGCCTTGTCGTACACCTTGCACCCGCTCCACAGACACTTGAACGACACACAGAGGGTTTGTGTCAACACGTGCTTGGCCTGAACAGAAAATTATAATATGTTAATGTTTACACGAGATTTATTGTTAGGTCTCCCTGGTTTTACAAGACAAAATTCACCAGGTTTTACTAAAAAAGCCTAAAAAAGCTTTTAGGACAGTAAATCGGCTCATACTCGTATGCAAATCAGCTCAGATGGGTCAGGAGGGTTTATATATACACTATAAGTGAGATGTATAACTGGGATTGAAAATGGAATATATATTATGGAAATTAACACCAAAAGTAATCCTAACCTAACCTGATCCAACATGCTTCTATTCCAGCTAACTAACACTTTAGTACAGTAGACTTTCTCTTATCTGGACTCCTAAGGACCGAGGCCAGGCCGGATGACAGGTTTTCTGGTTAAACCGTCGTCCCCAATAACTCCTTACAACGGACCATTTAAATGCATACTGTATACACCAATAATGATTATTACGTATTTAGACACGTGATCACTGGTCTCAAATCTTTCCTACGAGAACAATTGTTTCAGTACCGCCCACTTCCTGCCGAAATAGTCCGTTTAAACCAATGTGCTGATAAAAATTGTCCGGTTTAAGAAATGTCATTTCCGCCGAGTGTAGTCCGGTTAAACCGATGTCTGGATAAAAGGTGTCTGGATAAGAGGGAGTCTACTGTACTTCAAAATGTCAAGAAAGTTACGACCAACTAAATAGATTTATCTGTACTCCATCGCTTATCGCTCTGGTGTAACTAGAAAAAAGTAGAGAAAAAAATATAAGGTTTGGTCAACATTTAGAGAATTATTCTCCTATAACTTAACATGCCCCAGATTGACTTTGTATAAGCCTACTGTACATAACCCTTTATAGGAAAAGTATAAAAAAGATTTAAGAGGTAAATGATTTTTCCAGCAAATGGAAGTTCTAGACATTACATCACTTCCACTATTATTATAGGTGGTGCAAGTTTTCATGATGGGATTCAAGGACAAATTGTTTACCAACAAAGAAAACACAGGCTAAGCCTGAAGCTGCTGGGAATGGTCGGGCAGGCCAAATAGGGGAAATGCCTAACCTGGCAGCCGGCTAAGGGGCATTCAACTGAACTGGTTTTCCAGTGAGAAATGGCAAACCACTTACTTCTCAATGCAATTAACCTTACAAGCAGAAGACCCATGGGTATGTATTCACGAATTCATAAATAATAGAAAGAGAGACTACTTTTTTAAACTTGATTTGTTGAGCCAAGATCTTAAATTGGTAGCAAGGCCTGAAGTAAAATACAGGTACTGAAAATTTAGTTATTCTTTAGTTTTATAAATCTTAAATTAAGATTTAACATATTAAAAACGTTATGGAGGATTTAGATTATCTTAATGAAAAGAACAAAAGCTTTAAAAGTAGTGAGTGGGAACTGAAAATTGTTGCAATAATTAAAAGTATTTTAGAAAATTACATTTTCTATTTAGTGATTTTAGTGACTGAGCAAGGATGGACCATCATTAAAGCTATTGATCAAAGATCATTAAAATTGGTCGAGTTAGAGACAAGCTAAAACCCCCAAAATAATATTAAATTTAATTTTTAGAAACCAGTTTTTATTAAAAGATTTATATCTCGGGTTGTTAATACGTCACCAAGATCTTTCTGGTCTCAAATTACTTAGTAAATGTTAAGCTTTAATTTTATGAAATCACTACATAAAATCCGACAAATTTAATTTAAGTCATGGACCTTCATTTAACATTAACATCAACTCGTCCAATTTTAATGATTAGAGAATTTTAATGCTCTAATTAAAGTCCTCACTCACATCACTGAATATGTTAAAGCAAGAACGAACTGCAGGCATTATTAATAACTGGAGATAAAATAAAAATAAACTTTAAAACATTTCTAAGTACGAAACGTCCATAAGAAATGTATGGGGGAGAGTATTCGTTTGAACATATCTTAAAAACAAAAAGATATTTAAAAACGGATTTTGGCATTGGAATCAGCGTGAAAATCTAGTTCATAATGATGTGTCACAACAGTATCATTTCAATAATATATAAATCCAAGATGGCAGCCAAAAATACGTTCCCTACGAAATGAAGTACTGACCACCCAATACATATCGGCAGTGGTCCTAAGTCAATTCAATTCCTCAAAAAATGTTCATAAAAAATGCATATATGGTATTTTTTAAATACATTTTCTAATGATGGGAAAAGCCGCCATTTTTAATCGTGATTTTAGGGGTTTACCCGTGGACCAATTTTTGGCAACTTTCAGTATGTCACTCTGCATACCCAACACTACAAAATAAAACCATAAAACGTTTTATTGAAATATTTTTAATGATCCATGTATCAATTTTTTTTTAGTTTGCCTGGACTCCTAGGACTTTTAAGTAAAATTTGTTAACATTAATATTTTAACAGCAAACAAATTAAAAGCTTACATCATTTAATTGACTAAAAATAAATCTGCAGCATAGGCCTACCTGAAGGTGTTCCAAGAGTGCGGAGGTGGTGCTGAAAGATTCTGTACAATCCGTCCACCTACAGATGACGTCAGAACACATATGTCCTTTCCACCCGTTCCTGGCTGGGAACCGAATGATACTCGGAGTCCTTAGTATAGGAGAAGGCAACGAGGGTTTGTCCGAACACGTCTCACCCGTGCTGATGGACAAAGGCGAGTCGGCGGGAGAGGAGGCGGGTGTAGAACAAGTGTTTGGTTTAGGTAAAACACTATCACTGACACTGACACTGTCTTGGACTTGTGGAGAGCTGGGTTTGCGAAACAACGAGGTAACTGGTGAGGAGGGTTCCGCCGGTTTGTCGGACTGGAAGACGAAGGGTAACCGGGCGACAGGCACGACGGTCCCTGAGAGGTGCACAGCCAGTTTATTAGCATCACAGCTGCTTTTCTTGTGCTGAGCCTGTGAATAGCAACAACTTCGGTAAAACATTGAATATTAACACCATCTATAGTAGAGAGTTAATGTTCTAAATTCTCACATTTTAACAGCTGCAACCTTACTATCATCTATACAGCTGGGTAGCCAAGTGGTTTTTAAGTACCCTAACTAACCTAGTAATGAAAAGGTCGCCAGTTTGATCCTCAGATTTAGTTTAGCAGAAATTTAGTTTGTTTCTAATAATTGTGAGGTTTCTAATGCATGGTTCTGTATAATAAACGGTTGGTCTTAATCAGTAACAAAGCTAAATACATGTTGCTGAAATACAATTATTCTATACCTTGTTAATGCCACAGTTCTAAGTGTTCTCAACAAAAGTCAAATTTGGATATGATCTCTTAAACAGGACTTTAAAGGATGGTGAACACATAATCTGATGTAACTGTACAGGTTTTTTAGGATTGTTGTGAACTTAACTTTGTGAACTCCAAAGAAAACAAGACTTCAGACTTAATTATTTTTTTACTTTCTCCCCCAATACATAGTTACCTATAACTTATGGAGGAAGAATTGTTTTTGTCAAAATGTCCAAGTTTTGGTTAAGGGTGGATTAGGGGAACCATTTTGGGTCCCCCTAAGCCCACAAATGTGGTTTTCGAGATGATGTCTGTATGTGAGTGGATGTGTAGCCTACAAACCACACCTGTAGTCCGATGTTGATGATTTTTAGTATGTGGGTACAGTGCAACCTTGATAACAAGTCACCTTTGATAACAAGTGTCATTTTCAAAACACCTTGGATTTATTTTACCCCTAATCACATGTTATTGCAAACCTCGATATGAAGTCAACCTTGATAACAAGTGTTATTTATAATCTCTTGAGTCTTGTTATCAAGATTGTTACCTTGTGCATAGTAATAGCTACATCCCTATAGGAAAATTTGATAAAAGATTTAAAGAAAACCGCTTGAACTATTTTGATTTTAAGATTTAGTATGTTATAGCTCTTATAACTCGCAAAATGGTACAGACCTTTTTTTTTTGCTGTAAAAATTATGGTCTAAAAAGGTACTGAAACTTATGTGATTTTTCCTATAAAAACCGATAAAATAACACAAAAATTTGACTTTCACGAAAGCGGCTCGACTAATTATAATCACAATTTGGTATGTTATAGTCCTTTCAACTCTAAACAAAACAATGTGAAGCTCACATTGCTGTAAAAATTAAGGTTCAAAAATTATTGTGACTTTTGTGATTCTTCCTATAAAAGTCATAGTTACTCCCACTAATAATAAGGGCTGTTGATAAGCTAATTGGAGAAAGTATGCGTCAGATTCCTGATACTGTTTATACATTTCTAATAATGGTTTATTTGAATCTAAAAAATATCCAAGCATGCAGACATTATAATAATGTTTATTCCTCCAGGCTAGTTAAATTATTCTGTGTTCTTTAACATAATCATAATACAATACACTGGAAAATTGACTCACCGGAAAGTACTCAGTGATCTTGCCCTGGAAGTATCTAGGCGAGTGAGGGTCAACCCAGGCGCAGGGCCAGTGGGCTGTAGCAGTCTCGGTGGACTGTGTAGGAGGCATCTTGCCAGGGGACTCAGGATCACTCTCGGCAGAGGAAACTGTGCTGTAGGGAGACCCAGGCTCTGTGATGTCACTGGTCCCACTGGAGCTGCCACTGCAGTCTGTGCAACTGAGGGTTGCTACTCCACTGAAACAAAACACAGTACCTCAGACTCTCGACTGTCAACAAACTAATAATAGGTCCATGTACTTCACCAATAATCAACCAATTATACCTACATAGGTACTAAAGAGAGTATAACCTTTAAAATCATCTCAGTCATAAGTAAAGGCTGGTATACACGCTACGAAAAATTGAGACGATCTGATTTGACTAATTTAATACTGTGATAAATCGAGAGATTGCAGTCAGGTCTATAAGCTGCAATCAATTGTAACAATTTCTTGTGAAAATTTCAGTATTCTGCTGTTGACCGCTATCAAACTCAGAAAAGAATTTGCCATAACACACTGATTACAATTGGTGCCATACATGTGTGACTCGTTTACACTTTCCAACTTGACATTCCAATTTGTAGAAATTGATGCTGGCCGGTATCAATCATCCAAATCAATTCCAATTTGAAAAATACGTCCAATGTGCTCGCTGTCTACTCTACTTGCTATGATAAATTGGAACAATTTGCTATTTTTAATAAATCGATATGATATATCGTAAGCGTGTATACCGACGGCTTTAAAGTTATCTCAGAGTCAATAGCCAAACAGGTTTGTAGTGAATGGTTACATATTGATGGAAGTTTATTTTATTAAAAAAAAACTTAAGCACTTAAGCATGTGTGTACCTAAGTGACAACACAGCACCCGCCGACAAAGAAGAATATAGCTGCCGAAGTTATGATTATATTTAATTGTTGGAACCAGAGAAGAAGAAAGAAATTGTTTAGAAGATTTTGGGCTAACGGGTGGCTTCAACGAAGAAATAGTTACAGCCAAATGGCACTCCTACGAGATTTGTAACTTGAAAATCCTCAGGAGTTTCCGTCATACTTAGCAACCAGTGACGGACGCACATAAAATAGAAAAAAGGACGCCAAATTGATGTTTTAGCATGGTTTTGTTTTGTCAGTTCATTTTAGTTGTATTACGCATGCCCAAGCCGTCTTTAGTTGATCAGTTGCTGAACCCTAGTGGCAACCTACAAATTGCCGTCAAAGTTTTGGGCTAAAGGATGGCTTCAACGTAGAAATAGTTACAGCCACATGGCACTCCTACGAGCTTTGTGACTTGAAAATCCTCAGGGTTTTAAGAACTCTTTACAGATGTCAAATGATAGTTTCCGTCATACTTAGCAACCAGAGACGCCTGTGATACCTCACATTGAAAACAGGACGCCAGAGATTGACATTTCAGCATGGTTTTGTTTTGTCAGTTGATTTTTAGTGGTATTGCGCATACCCAAGCCGTATTTAGTTGATCAACTTAGTCGCTGAACCCTACACACTCAAGTTTTTTTGAGAAATCTCATTGCCCGGCGATAAAATGGTTGATCGAAAACCAAAATTTCGCCTCGCAACCTACAAATCGCCGTCAATCAAATTGACAGACCCCCCCACACACGGCGATATTTGTGCAATTTGGTCGCTCGTCAACCAGATCGCCGGTTGATAAGCGACCGGGTGTCCTAGTGTGTAGCGGCCTTAAAGGCTAGTACTCACTAGGACACCCGGTCGCTTATCAACCGGCGATCTGGTTGACGAGCGACCAAATTGCACAAATATCGCCGTGTGTGTACGTGTCTGTCAATTTGATTGACGGCGATTTGTAGGTTGCTAGGCAACTTTTTGGTTTTCGGACATGTATCGAAAACCTGGGGGTTTCCGATCAACCATTTTATCGCCGGGCAATCAGATTTCTCAAAAAACTAGAGTGTGTACGCTTCAGCGACCAAGTTGATCAACTAAAGACGGCTAGCGCATGCGCAGTACACTGTTTGTGTCAACTGTCAAAACTAAACAGTGCTAGTGCTAAACGTGGTCTCTTTCAAGCTAGCTTTATTCCAATATGAGGCGTCACCAATGGCAAAATGTGACGGAAATTGTCGTCTGACATCCTCAAATAATTCTTGTAATCCTGAGGATTATCATCTCGCAAAGTTCGTAGAAGTGCCATGTGGCTGTAACTGAGTCTGCGTTGAAGCCACTCTTTAGCCCAAAATCTTTTGAACAATGTATTCCTTCTTCTATGGTTACTGAAATTAATTAGAATTATAACTGCGGCAGCAATCTCTTCTTCGTAGGTGGGCATGTTGTCACAACACACAGGTCAGTGCAACTAGATTCCAGAACCAAACACAGTCCATCCCCACCAAATTTTGATTTCCAGCTTGGTTGAAAGTGCTAGGTATCCTAGTGTGTACCCCCCGGCAATAAAACGTTCAATAATCAACTTAGTCGCTCGTCAACCAGGTCGCCGGTAGATAAGCGACCGGGTGTCCTAGTGAGTACTAGCCTTAACAGTTGAACTTGATAATCAATGACCCAAAAGCCTTTCAGCCTTCCCAGAAGCGAAACTAGTGAAATGGGACGGCAACAGCAGACGACAGGGAATGTCAACAAAGTGCGTGCGCGTGTGTGAGTGAGCGACGCTAGCGCTGCGGCGGACACAAACTGTACTAGACGAGGTTATCGAGCTGACCCGCTGTCTCTGTCAGTGGTGGGGATGGAGGGGAGGTAGCACGTGCAGCACGGCACTACCACACTGAACAGCTTCCGTCGTCCACCGCTCCTCGCTCAGACTCACTATATTTACACTGATTGATCATCCGAGGCAGACACTTCCTGCACTGCCCTTTAACTCGCACACCTCCGCCTTTACGTACATCGTACACCGACGTGTCTTGCTAAATTTAATCATTCACATCGTCATCATTCTTATAATTACAACAGATATTGTAATGTGAACAAATTAAGTTAATTTTTAATTCTTATCTAAAATCACTCTTCTTTGGCCGTTATTCCTGATTCCCTGTTTTTTCCCATAGACGTTTGTTTAGCACAAATACGCAGCATCGTTGTTTGTTTAGAAATGCATTAAAATAGATGTCAATTTTATATCATAATTAATTATAAAGCAAATGTCACGAAACACCTTTTCGCCATTTCCTACTAAAATCAAGCTTTATATATGTCAAAGTTAATGAATATACTAACAAAATCGGCAAGCTTAACGAAACCCCGGGACGTATGGAACCTCGAATCACGCGAAAAGTCCCGATCCCAACAGCGTTATCATAACATTGCCGGCATTTGTTTGAAATTTGGAACATTAAAGTTATTATGTAAACCAATTGATTTACAGCCACTAAATGAATTAATCGTTCTTTCTCGTCAATAAACGTGTTATTTTCATCCAAACATAGGCCTAAATAACTCTATTATTAGAAGAGGTTGCAAAGCAGTCAAATATTTAATTTTGTCCAGATGTTTATTGCCCATAAAACAGCCAGGCTGAACGAAGACGCAACTAAGGACACATGCCAAGGTCATGGTCGTATGCTATTTTATGTGATGGACTTATATAGGCTATAAAGAGTCAGTTGAAAAGTAATTAAAAAAAACTGTTAAAAATGAGTTATAACTGTTATGCTCGAATGAGATAGAAAGTAAGAACTGTATTTTGTTATAACATTTATCTATTGCAGGCAGTAGCTGATATTCAACAAGAACAGAAACCCACAATACAAGAAAGGCTTTCAGCTAGAGGACAGAAGATATTTTGTACTAGGAGACAATACTACCGTCTATTTTCGTCATCCTCTCTATACATAAGTTTTGACGTGTTTACTTCAGAAACTGTTGTACACTCGTGTAAACTATGTGTGTATGGACGAAATCGAAATCTTCGGTGGTGCATCCTTGTTCAAGTTCTTGTCTGCGTGCCCGTGTGTTGACTGTACACTCGTACAGTACACTGGTTGCCTGCTTGGCCATGTTGAGTGTATATACATTAGTACAAACTCTTGTTAGGTGGTAACTCCAATAACAGTCGTACAAATTCTTGTTAGGTGGTAACTCCAATAACACTCGTACAAACTCTTGTTAGGTGGTAACTCCAATAACAGGCGTACAAACTCATGTTAGGTGGTAACTCCAATAACATTCGTACAAATTCTTGTTAGGTGGTAACTCCAATAACATTCGTACAAACTCTTGTTAGGTGGTAACTCCAATAACAGTCGTACAAACTCTTGTTAGGTGGTAACTCCAATAACATTCGTACAAACTCTTGTTAGGTGGTAACTCCAATAACACTCGTACAAACTCTTGTTAGGTGGTAACTCCAATAACATTCGTACAAACTCTTGTTAGGTGGTAACTCCAATAACAGTCGTACAAACTCTTGTTAGGTGGTAACACCAATAACACTCGTACAAACTCTTGTTAGGTGGTAGCTCCAATAACAGTCGTACAAACTCTTGTTAGGTGGTAACTCCAGTAACACTCGTACAAACTCTTGTTAGGTGGTAACTCCAATAACACTCGTACAAATTCTTGTTAGGTGGCAACTCCAATAGCATTCGTACAAACTCTTGTTAGGTGGTAACTCCAATAACAGTCGTACAAACTCTTGTTAGGTGGTAACTCTAATAACATTCGTACAAACTCTTGTTAGGCAGTAACTCCATTAACATTCGTACAAACTCTTGTTAGGTGGCAACTCCATTAACATTCGTACAACCTCTTGTTAGGTGGCAACTCCATTAACATTCGTACAAACTCTTGTTAGGTGGCAACTCCATTAACATTCGTACAAACTCTTGTTAGTTGGTTCCCAATAACAGTCGTACAAACTCTTGTTAGGTGGTAACTCCAATAACATTCGTACAAACTCTTGTTAGGTGGCAACTCCATTAACATTCGTACAAACTCTTGTTAGTTGGTTCCCAATAACAGTCGTACAAACTCTTGTTAGGTGGTAACTCCAATAACATTCGTACAAACTCTTGTTAGGTGGCAACTCCATTAACATTCGTACAAACTCTTGTTAGTTGGTTCCCAATAACAGTCGTACAAACTCTTGTTAGGTAGCAACTCCATTAACATTCGTACAAACTCTTGTTAGTTGGTTCCCAATAACAGTCGTACAAACTCTTGTTAGGTGGTAACTCCAATAACATTCGTACAA